TTCTGTGGAGAATCACATGATGCCAACATACACACAAAACACATTCACCAGATATAACGACACCGGAATCTAAGCGACCAGTTTGTGTAAACATGTCTCTGGCTAAGCACACAGGTACACTCACCCGGTCTTCTTAAAATTGGCCTTAAATACCTTTTAATTTTAGTTTAATAGGATAGAGAGGAGGTAGAAGTTAAATTGTAATGTGTATCGAAGAGTCTGAGTAGTTGTTTTGGTAGTAAGTTTAAGGAGATACGGTCTACGGAAGATTATTTAATGTCAGTGCTGGGTCTCCAATGTGTTTTCTTTCTATAATTCATAATCATTTAACCAGTTATAGGTCTTTGCGAATATTTGCAGATTTTGGTTTATATACATTTTGTCATGATGTAGAATTATAATTGTGTATGTAAAAGAATCATATTGTTGATTCATTTTCACAAGCAGAACGAGTGCGACCGGCAGCCGGTCGACTGAGTATTTGGTCCAAACCTGGTTTGAACCTCACAGAAAGAGTCACCGTGAATTATAAGATCATATAGTTTCAGATCATTTTGAAGTTTTGGTGGCATTCATGAATAAATGGGTTCTACATATTTTTCCAGAGATTGTCAGTTCTGTGGAGAATCACATGATGCCAAAATACACACAAAATCACAACATTCACCAGACATGCACACTCACACACACCAGACACCCACATGCACACACACCAGACACCCACACGCACACATACCAGACATCCACACGCACACACACCAGACAAGCACACACCAGACATCCACACACACACACACACCAAAAATCCACGCACACACACCAGACATCCACACACATGACATAAGTTATATCCTGTCATACGCTTCAAGTCTAATATGGGAATAGAAACACAAAAATAGCTGAGAGGTAGACTAATGCAGGCATAGCACATGACCAGTTTCTTTCTTGCTGTACATATTTGTATCCTTGTTGTCTCTTTAAAATAAGACTATTGGCAGTTTTAAATGCATAAAAATGTTCCAGTTGTTACCCAACAAAAAGTTATATAATATCTTTTTCTTTTCTTTCCTTTTCTTCCATCATCTCCCTCTAGCTTGTGCAATTTTTCAATGTCACATGTGTAGGGAAAAGCATTTTTATTCTGCAGCAAAGAGAGAAAGAAAAGGAGAAATAGCAAGAAGAAATGGCCTATTCATTTCTCTCTTTTGTTTTCAGCCTTATTAAGTCAGTCGTTGGTGAGAAGGTGGGTGCAATCACCAGCATGGAGTGCTTGCTTGATCCACACATCCTCCAGCCTGGAAGCAGCCAGGAAAGGAACAAGAGCCAAGGCAGAAGCCAAGAAAAAGTCTGCCAAAAAGGAGGAAATAAAACGTGAATTCATTCCCCTCAAGAAACGACTGGAGATGCAGTAAGTTCCGGAAACTGTCTGAGGTCAAAAGGGAGGAAGAAAAAAATAGGCTTCCTGTTTCCTTCCCTTTTTTTTTTTTTTTTTTTTTTTTAAGGATTTGATACATTTGAGATGCATGATACAATGATTTTAAATGTCAGAAAGTGCATTTTTTTATCCATCCACTTTTATGATTTGTCATCTGGTGAAAGACCATTTCTTATGACAGACCAAGTTTATTGTGTATTAATGAAAGATTTGCTTCCAAGGCAGACTGGGGGAAGGTCTCCTCGCCGTGTAGAGGACCATTTGCCAGAACCCTTTGATAATGTTTGGTTCACAAAGTACTACAAGTGGAAGGTTAGTCTAGATGCCTTTTTAGAAATACTGTGAAACTGTATACTTTTAATGAAATTCAGCTATCCTTAAGATATTAAAAGTCCATTTGTTGTTGACAAAGAATGAACACATTAGTGATAGTGTTGATTAATATTTTTCATCTAAGAAAATGTGCTGGGGAATTATTCAGTCATTCTATACATACCCTCTTATGAAAAGAAGGATAATAAGAAATGAAAATACCTCACATGTGTTAAGTACATACAATGTTTACTGTAGCTTTGTTTTGTTTTTCTTACACATACATGGCTTTGTAAACCCATAGACACCTTTTGCTTGAATTTTTATGTAAAGATAATAAGAAAATATCAAAGTATCCACAGTTATACACCAACAAGTTGTACAAAGCCCAGCATTTTGGTGTTTATATCCCTGTGTTATTTAGTGTTAGTATCTCATCATGGTCTTACATTTCAGGTATACAGTGTATGTGATGCTATTGCCATGCACAGAGAAACACACCATCCTTCACAGATAGGGCTTCCAGATGGTCTTGTCAATGCTTATATTGAACTCTCTTTATCAGCAGATAAAAAGGCAAGTTTAATTGGAAAAAAAATTAGATGTCTTCTAACTGACAAGTGCTATGTATGCTAGACAATTATGTTTTATTGATCAAGATTACAATAGCAGTCATGGATTTAGAAATGTCTATCATAGTTTTTTTTAGGCTTCTCATATATGTTCTATGTATAAGAGAAATCCAGTATGTAGCATAGTTTTATAGTTGCACTTTTACTATTTTCTCATTTTATCCCCTTATCTTATGAGGTGAGAGCTAACACAGATTTGACTAGTCTTGGCCAAGTATGTAAAAAGGGATGCACATATATATATATATATATATATATATATATATATATATATATATATATATATATATATGTATATATATATATATATATATATATATATATATATATATATACACATATATATATATATATATATATATATATATATATATATATATATATATATATATATATACATATATATATATATATATATATATATATATATATATATATATATATATACACACACACACACACACACACACACACACACACACACACACACACACACACACACACACACACACACACACACACACACACACACATATATATATATACACACACACACACACACACACACACACACACACACACACACACACACACACACACACACACACACACACACACACACACACACATATATATATATATACATATATATATATATATATATATATATATATATATATATATATATATATATATATACACATATATATACATATATATATATGTGTGTGTGTGTGTGTGTATGTGTATGTATGTATAAAATAAAATATATTTCTCCATGAATCTCAGAAGTCTGGGAGTCTAATAACTCAATATCTGCTCATTGTGTTTGATAGAAAATTGTGGTTGGGAGAGGCTTACATTAGGGATTGTTAAGTAATTTGCTCTACTAAATTTGGCATTGTATTGGCCAAAGCTCCATGCTTAAACCGGGAGACCTGGTTGCTTCAGTTTGATTAACCCAATACCGATGGGCATGTCATGTACGTACATGCCATGCCCACTGTGAATTTACTTTATTAACCCATTGCCACTGGTGAAAATGCAGTGCTCATTTATATTTTTGTGAAATGTCTCTGTACATAGATGGCTCTGCAAGTGCTTAGCCACATATGAGTTAATTAGTAGATCTTGTGACCTTACCTGATTTGACCTTTCCTTGAGTTAACAGGAAAAACATATTTTTTACTACTGCTATGAATAACATAAAATATTTTCGTAAATCAATGAAAAGGGTGAACAGCCGAGGCAGGCAGTACTCAAAACTGGCTCATTAGTGACTTAGTACAAGTGTAGTCATCTATGTAAAAAACAATTAAACAAGTAAAGTCACAGTGGGGATGTATGTACATGCCATGCCTGGCAGCAATGGGTTAATTGTTTTTACACATAGATGGCTACACTTATACTATAACACCAATGAGCCAGTTACGAGTACTGCCTGTCTTGCTCGTTTACCCTTTTTCTTGTTTTATGAAAATATTTTACATTATCTTATCTTGCTGTTACTGATGTTTATAACATTATAGTAATTATAATGTTCATAATAAAAATAACACCATCAATATTCATAGCATTAGTAAAAAATAAGTTTTTCCCACCAATTCAAGGAAAGGTGAAATTAGTTAAGGTCCCAATGTCTACTAATTGACTCCTTTGTGGCTAAGCACAAGCAGAGCCACCTGTGTGCAGAGACATTTCACACACACACACACACACACACACACACACACACACACACAAAAAATCTAATGAAAACAGCATTTTCCCAATTTTCTATGCATTTTCCCCAACAGCACGTGGTTAAGTTTCACAACCTTTATGTATCTTCCTTTCTTCTGCATAGTTTTTCAACTATGAAGATTGTATTATTCATAATTACATGTGTGTATGATTCCTTACCTACTCAAACCTTCACAGAATCGTTACCTCGACAACTTCTTCAATGTGGTTCGGCTCCCTCACGACTTTGACGCGGAGCAGAGTCGATCCCTGATTGTGGTATCCAAAAACGAGGAGATGATCAACTATGCCAGAGAAGTCGGCGTGACTCTCGCCATTGGCCCAGAGATCGTCAAGCTTGTGCAGGTTAGATTGTTTTATATATGATTAAGATAGAGGATGCATAAGGTAATGGAAGTATATTGTATTGGGGTTGTATACGATGGAGATATCTCTTGAATTTCTTACATATATGTTTAATATTACTTGTTTTTATCTTATCTTCAGTGTACCATTAAAACTATTGTTGAACTTCTTGTGATTTAGTTTTTATATTATATCTATAAGGACTTGTTTACGGAAAGAAATATTTTCTATTATTATTAACCTTTGATCCGGGTGACATGACCACCACATCATGAAAAAAATCTGGGTCAAGGAGCGGGTGATGTGAACGCGTCATCAAGGGAAAATCTGGCTGTAAGCTGGGTGATGCAAACCTTTGGTCGTGAGCATTTCAGCTGAAGACCAGGGTGATGGAAAAGACTCGCCACGAGTGCACAAACCTATTAGGAGGTTTATTTGACTCATTTGGCAATTTTGCTTTATTCCCATCAATGTATGAGTGTTGAATATAATGCCTGAAAGCAGTGACTGAAAGAGCACCAGCTCCATGGAGGACACCATTTCCATGCTAATCATTATATTCCTGGTACCTTGAGCGGTGATGCAGGTTGTATTACAGAATATTGCATATTTCATTAAAAAAAAAAAAAATAATGAACAAATAGTGTTATATAGTTTTATTTTTCTTGAGCTGAGTTGTAGACTCAGTGAAAAGGGTGAACACGCAAGACAAGCAGTACTCAAAATTGGCTTATTGGTGACTTAGTACAAATGTAACCATCAATGTGTAAAAACAATTAAACAAGTAAAGTCACACTGGGCATGACATGTACATACACCTCACCTAGAGAGGTGATTGGAGTTTGTGCAAAAAAAAAAAAAAAAAAAAAAGGCTATTACCATCTGGATAATGCAAATCAAATGGCAGATACGAACATTGGCATAGTGTCTTGTCAGTGCACACACGTGTTCACTCACCTAAGCCTATTGCCCAGATTTTTTGTCATTTGATTGCTGTGATGCAAGCAGATCCAGTGGGTTAATTACATAGTGTATTCACCTTATAGAGATGTTAATTTTCATATACAAAAATGTGTACCCTCAACAAGATAATGAGTAACTTTTCACTAACCATTTGTCTTTCATTTTTTTCTAGACTGGTGAGATAAACCTGCTAGATTATGAAAACATAGTAGCTGACACAGAGCTGCTCCCAGATTTGGTTCCTTTAAGAGGACTCATGAAGAAAAGATTCCCCAATGTTAAGGCTGGTAAGAGAGTTGTGTGTTTCATTGTTAGGTATGATATATCAGTTTAATTGTAAGCTGTGGAGATGAGAGGTTAAGGATAGATATTTTTTTCCTGTTTAATGTTGACCTTTTTTTTTTTTTTTTTGGGGGGGGGGGTAAATAATGTCCTTGAGTCCAGAGCTATAAATGACATGAAATATCAGGGGATTTTAAACTTTAGAGAATATTCACTTAAAGTTTGGCTAATAAAGAATGTCAAGCTATTTGTGAGGTCAGGTAGTGCTGTTTTGTGATTTCAGTCATTCTGTATTGTAACCATAGTTACCATAACCAGTGCTTATTGATGAAAATGCCAAATTGGAGTCCAATCTAACAATCCTTTCAAATTTTATTTTTAGTAATATGAATAGATGGCAGGTACAGTTATCTTCAGTAGAAGGTGAAACAGTAGAACAAGACTCAGGAACATGCCCTACTAGTCAGAGAGCTTCAAGCTGGCATTGATAATGAGCAAATCTCAAAATGTGTGCAACCTCTTTGTCAATATGACAGTACTAGAAGTAAAATGTAACTGAAATTACATATTTATACCAAGGTGGTGTAGGACAGGGGTTCTCAAATTCCTTTGGCTGCAACCCCTACAAACGACTTTGATAGATTCACAACCCACTCCCCTAGCATCAAAGCATTTCTGACAATCTCTATAATGCATGAATACATAAAATGACCTTATGAGGCATTATCAAGCATTGGGCAGGTCAACAACTGCTGACAAGTACTAGATATGTTAACCCATTGCCGCCGGGGATGGCATGTACATACATGCCATGCCCACTGTGAGTCAACTTGTTTGATTGTTGTTACACATAGATGGCTACGCTTGTACTAAGTCACCAATGAGCCAATTACGAGTACTGGCTGTCTCGCCCATTCACCCTTTTCATCGATTTACAAAAATAGTTAATATTATCCTAATTTGCTGTTAAAAATAACACCATCTATATTTATAGCACTAGTAAGAATGCATTTTTTCCCGCCAATTCAAGGAAAGGTGGAATCAGGACTAGCAGAGCCATTTATATACAGAGATATTTCACAAAAATATAAAAAATGAGTACAGTATTTTCCCCATTTTTTGTTCATTTTCCCTGGTGCCAATGGGTTAAGATGGATAGTTGGAGTAAGAGGAGAAAGGAGGAGGGGTTGCAAGATCTCAAGACTCCTCCAAAGTATTTTGCAATCCCTCTGGGAGTCAGGAGCAACTGTTAAGAACCTCTTGAAGAGCATTGATATTGTATTTTAGACATCAGTGTGTGCTTTATCACAGAAACACTTCACACTCATACAAAACAAAGGAAGAGTTAGATAAAATGTGAAATGTTGATATATGGCCAGCTTCAGTGTTTAAAGTTATAGAAGATTTTGAATATATATATATATATATATATATATATATATATATATATATATATATATATATATATACAGATAGTCCCCTACTTAAGAACATTCTACTTATGAACATTCCATACATACAAACAAAAATTTTTAAGTACTAAAGTCCAAAAAGTTGTTTGAAAGATGCTAGCAAACTTCAAATTTCCTGGGCATGAATATAGTTCAAGAGTCTGGTACTGTATAAGGTATGTCGTACTTATTGGGATTTATTTGCAGGTATTCTTAATGTAAACAAAACTTTGAAACAATGGGAAAAAAGGTAATGGAGACCCAACTTTCGACATACAAACAAATCAACTTACAAACAACTTCTTGGTCCCCATTATATTCTTAAGTTGGGGACTTACTGTGTGTATATATATATATATATATATATATATATATATATATATATATATATATATATATATATATATATATATATATATTCTAGATATTCTGTCTAGCTTATTTATGTCACAAGCATTTTCCTTCCTTCTAGGGTTCACTTACACCAAGACTCAAGCATCACGATAATTCTTTCTCTTTTTTTATTTTAGAAAGATACTATTACAGGGGTATTACATTATGTTGTTAATATGGATTAGAAATATATGACAAATAACAGTTTGATAAATAGCAATATTCAATATCCCATATGAAATGCAGACCGGCAGTGTGATAAAAAGTGGTTTACTCAAGTATATATTCTATATGTATATTCTTAAAGAAATACAAAGAAAAGTGATACATATCTGTTAAATAAAAGCTAAAAGAGTTTGGAGTGGTGGACTCCAGCATATGGCAGAAATGATGGGGATGAGTGTCGTGCTATGCACGCTGCACAGGTACACAGGAGATTAAGGTGAATGAGGATTGTCATGCTTTCTGTGTTTGAAATAATATTTTAGAAAAGAGATTGAGTAATTTAGTTTCTTTTGCATTTAATGTGTTAGAGTACTGAGTATATGTGTATATATAATGGGATGAAATTACCAGCTACTCAGTGATACGTAGAATGCTAAATGATATTGTATTTCTTATGGCTAAACAAAACACTTCCAGAGTAAGTTATGTACGCACACACTTGCCTGATGACACATTATCAATCAGGGAGGTCAGAGCGATAACTAAATTACCTTTGGAAAGTTTTATATAAAATGAACTCCTTGGATCCAGTTGCTTCACGGCGTTCATGTGAACCAAAATACAGGCTATAAGCTTAGGTGAGCGTTCACAGAGACAATATTCCACACTGACTTATGGATGGAATTAGTGCAAAAACCCCATTTGAAATGCCAAATGAGTCTAATCACCCTCCAAGAGGTTTGTGCACTCTTCAAGGACTTCAGCTGAAATGCTCACAACAGCAGCCAAATTTTCTCATGATGGCATGTTCACATTATCTGCCCCTCACATCCTGAAACTATTTTCATGATGTGATGGTCACTAAAATCCCATCATTAACCCATTGGTGCCGGGTATGATGTGTACGTACGTGCTATGCCCACCATGAGTACTTGTTTGATTGTTCTTACGCATAGATGGCAACACTTGTACTAAATCACCAATGAGCCAACTACGAGCACCGCCTGTTTACCCGTTTCTTTGATTTACGAAATATTTTACGTAATCTTATTTTGCTGTTACTAATATTAAAAAAAAAAACATTATAAAAATTATAATGTTTATGATAAAAATAACACCATCGATTTTCTTAGCACTAGTGAAAAATATGTTTTTCCCGCCATTTCAAATCAGGAGCTAGCAGAGCCATCTATCGGCAGACATTTCACGAAAAACATAGAAAGTGGGCACAGATTTTCCCCAATTTTTGGTCATTTTCCCCAGCACCATTGGGTTAACCATGGGATGTTAGTTTTACATATTTTCTTGTGAAACTTTGTTAAGAGCTTGCCGAACAATGTAAGAATGCCTGAGAAGTTTGTGTGTAAGGAATCAGCTTCACAACGGGTGATGCCGATAGGCGTGAAAACAAATCACTCGAAAGCTGGCATACGCGGCGGTGGCGAGCCAGTGATTCAGACTGGTGTACCAAACTCATGCACTCAAAGCCGGCGCACTGCCATTGTTTGCCAGAGCGTAGAGGTTTTTTTTTTTCGTTTTCTTCACCTGTCACCATTGGGTTAAGCCAGTAGTTTGCCAGGCTCGGACTTGACACAAATTTCATAATCTTTTCCCACACCTACACTCTCTCCTTGTTGTATGTCAAGTGAGTCAAAAGAAGGGTTACCTGTTACTTATCCTGTTCCCATTATCAATGGGTTCCCATATACTGTAATATGTAGTGTAGCTCACATTTTTTATTATTATTATTATTATTATGACTCACCATGAGTGCACAAAACATTGCACATTGCTGCAGGGGAAAATGAACAAAAAATGGGGAAAATGCTGTGCCTATTTTCTATATTTTTTTGTGAAATGTCTGCCCATGGGTGGCTCTGTTAGTGCCTGATTTGAAATGGCAGGAAAAATGTATTTTTCACTAGTGCCATGAATATCAATGGTGTTATTTTTATTATAAACATTATAATCTTATAATGTTTTTTAACATTAGTAACAGCAAAATAAGATAACATAGAGTATTTTGTAAATCAAAGAAAAAGGTGAACGGGCGAGACAGGCGGTACTCGTAACTGGCTCATTGGTGATTTAGTACAAGTGTAGCCATCTGTGTGTAAAAACAATCCAACAAGTAATCTCACAGAGGGCATGGCATGGCATGCCCGTCGGGAATGGGTTAAGAAAGGACTCTTGCATTATTCCTGTCCATAAACAAGTGTGGAATATACCATAAATAAGCCATGACTGAATGAGCATTGGCTCTAGGGAGGACACTTTTTCTCTGGATCCTATTCCTGCCTACTGTGACCAGCGGCACAAATTGTATTACAGAAAATGTAATATTACAGAAAAAGGAAAAAAATAACATTATTTTTGCACTAAGTTATATAGTACTTATATAAATGATATGGAGTTTGTACATTATCATCTGGATACAGCATATAAAATGACAAATAGAGACATTGGAAAATGTTTTGACACAGTAAATGAGTGTTTGTGTGAGCCTGACCTACCAGCCACACACCCCATGAGTGGCCACTTAAGTAAATGTAATGCCTTGCTGGTCTCACCTTCTATGGGAGGTAACTGTACAAACATTGATTTTTGTTTACAAATAGAACTTAGTCACAAAGGAGTCTTATCTATCTGACCGGTATACCCTTTTCCTTGATTTTTGGTGTATTTTCTTTTTTTCTCTCTATCTCTCCATTGTTTTTAGTATTTTAGTAACATTATGATAGTCATGTCAATAATAATGATAACAATATCAGTATTGATTTCAGGGATTGGGAAAATCAGGTGAGGTCACACAAGGTTTAGCAGTTGACTCCTTGGTAATTTTGACTTGTGGAGCTATGCATGTGTAAACAAAATTCACAAAACATAACTATAGTGGATAGGACATGTACCCGGCATCAGTGGATTAACATAGCCATGGGTGAAAATGGTAACTAATGATAAATTGTACAGGGATCATTCATTTGAACACCAAGTTATATTTACTGTTTCATAGAATTTTGTTATAAAAGACTAAACTATTAGTATAGTATTACTATACCTGTACATCTATTAAGTGACTTCCTTAGTCAATATGTGCAACCATCTAGCTGCTTTATTAATGTGTGAAATTTCAATTACAGGAACAGCTGGTACTAACCTGGTTCCTATTATTGATCGTTTTGTGAAGGGCGTTGACTACAGAACGGTTAAGAATAAGCACCATCAAGATTTTGGATATATTGTAGCACCTTTTGGCAGAGTAAGTACTTTTGTGTTTTATATATAAGAAATATAATTTCACTTTCAAGGATAAAAGTTTTGTAATCTACTTCACTCACTTTTCTGTAAAGTAAATGCTACTGCCAATCTTTTTAGAGGAGAAATATGCAGTAGATGTAATGTGATGTAGAGGAGTTTAGCTCTATTTTATCCTGAGACATCATCCAACTTTAAGGATTCTGTTATTTGTTTTATAGTGATAGGTTTGCATAGATATCTTTTAGAGTATACAGTTATTTTTTTTAATGTAGATTATAAGCTTTATGGAGTTTATTTATTACTATTTGTCTTCAAGCTTAAAGGGATGGGATTAAAAGGGATATTTGTTTGTTGCAGAGGATTTCTTGTCTTGCTTGAGATTCAGTTTAATGTTTTTGAGTTCTCAGAATGTCAGTTTTCATGTTTTATCTATTTCATTGTTTTTATACATTGTTTTTGTGATTAATTGCATTATGATGTGATAAATACAATGTTGAAAAATATAGTTTTTTCTTCCCTCTCTATCTTTTTACTCTCTTATACTTCTCCCAAGAATTATACTACATTTGTTAGCATCAGATTGTTTTGATACATAATTCTACAGCTTTTCATGTGCACATTTCAGCTTTACTGTTTCCTTGCTCTGATTGTTTAACTGTTTTCCAGTTAAGTATGACAGACGAGCAGCTGGAGGAGAATTTAGCTTCATTAATTAATGATGTGGAGAAACAGCGGCCTCAGAGGAAGTCGGATAACCTTGTTACCATGGTAAGACTTAGAGAAATGATTTTTCAGTTTGACTATTTCTTTTTGTTTTCATACTTTTTAAAGTGAAGAGACATTTATGTTTTTGTATTCTTATTCTTATTCTTTTCTTTCTTTTCTTTTTCTTTCTTTCTTTCTTTCTTTCTTTCTTTTTCTTTTCTTTTTTCTTTATTTCTTCTCTCTTCTCTCTACCTTTTCTTTTACTTATAGTTTTTAGTTTTTACATTGTGGGTTTTTCTACCATAGTATCAACATGGTAGAGTGTTTTCATCATTCATATATACATATATATATACATATATAATATATATGCTTATAATACATAATATACATATATATACATACACATATATATAATGCAGTTGTTTACATCTATGTCTTTTTTATCTTTAGTATGATTGCAGTTAGATGTAATAAAATTTTTATCAATTTCACCAGTATTAACCCATTCGCCCTGGATTTATGTTCTGTCCCCTGTAGTTTTTGGTGAATTTTGTTACATACAGATGGCTCCACGTGCTCAGCCGGCAAGGAGTATCAGTAGTCCTTAGTTAACGACCCTGATTTTCCCATTCAATGAATTGGCGGGAAAATTAATACCATTGCTATCGATACTGTTATTATTGTTATTGATGTTATGATTATTTAATTGTCATTAGAACATTTTAGACAATAAAATGATACAAAGAACCCTTTCCTAAAGTGAAAGAAAAGGGTAAACAGGTGAAATAGGTAGTTCTTGATAACTGGCTATTT